TAGTTGCATTGTTAGCCACTAGAACTACATCACCTTCTTTTAAGTTTCTGTGTTTGCACAACCATTTCTGTCTTACTTGCAGTAAAGGAATGTACTCTTTTATCCATCGACGCCGGAAGGTACTGGCTAAACAATTAACCTGTCTCGATCGCTTTGAATACCCATCCGCAATACTACACTCCATCCCTAAACCATCACAGTCTCTTAGTAATAACAAAGTGTTTGGCGTGAGCGCCAAATCATGCTTTCATCTAATGTCACAGAACGATTGACGTGTTTACAATTCTTTCTATCTCCACAAAATAGATAGTAAGACTCCGGACAGACGTATTAATCTCTCCCAAACTTCGCCTCTATGGCTAGCTAGTGGGGAGTTGAAATGCCAGCGTACACCCTTCGATGCTGTTAAGTAGTTTATTCTATGCTTGTCCCACACACTCATATTAGCTCGCAATTTGGAAGTAGCCCCGATAAAGTTAGTTCCATTGTCGCTATGCATTTCCTTAGGAGTGCCTCTCCTTCCTATGAAACGTATTAAAGCCATTATAAAAGCATCAGTACTCAATTGAAAGCTACTTCCAAATGTATAGCTCGTGTTTGGAGACACGTAAATAGGCATCCATACTTTTTTCCTCACTTCTTCCCCGAAAGACTATCAACGGCCCAAAATTGTCTATTCCGACGGAGGAGAAGCAGAACCAACCTTGCTGCACTCGACACTCAGGGAGAGGTACCATCATCTGTTGGCCTAATGTGGCTTTCGCACGTAAACACCTCACACATCTACCTATAACTCGTTTAACTGCACTGGTTCCTTTAACAATCTAATAATTTCGTCGTATGGTAGCTAGCACTTGCGATGTCCCAGTGTGACCTTCTAGGTGGTGGTAGTGTCTAATGATAAGTTCTGTTACGAAGTGATGACTGGGTAAAATTACCGGATGTTTGGCTGAGAATGGATAATCCGAGTAATTTAATCGTCCGCCGACACAAAGCAATCCATCGATTAGCGTAGGTGAAACATTTTGTAGCTCTTTTATATCAGTTGAGCTTACGCCATTGTATCGAAACACTTTTACTGCTTCCCCATATACTTTCTTTTGCACTAAAGCTAATACCTTGTGTTTAGCTGCATCCAATTCATCAACTATCAGATAGCCCACACTCAGGAACCTGTCTTCGTGATGAGAGTACATGATGCTTATATAGGTCACATATCTTCTGAGCCATGCTACTGCTTTAATCAGCTTTATCCAATTTGAGTGATATAGCAGAATTGGACTTAAGATGGCATGGATCTCGTACGACAAGAAAAGGATCATCATAGTTTAACAAAGATGTATGAAGTATTCTTCGAAGGTAAAAAGTTGGAATAAAAAACATTAATTGATCCAGACTTAAGTGTTATCTGAAATTTTGAGGCTTCAAGAGGGGTATGAAGTTGGGCTTGCAAGTGACTCTACAAATTAATTCGACAGAGTGTATTCATACTTTAATCAGACGTCATTGTATGAAAGTTATTCTATACTGTCGTCAGCTACAGCCTTGCAATTAATGTACACATCCAATATTAAGGAATGGATAATTTATAACTTACATAAACGTTTTAACACAATCCAATTGATTGATTATAAGACTTTGTCCCACAAAAATTAATTGTAAAACAGACGAGATACGACCGTCATAAAAAATCTGTTACGAAAACGGATTCTTAGGTAGGAGAAAATTCCCTCACCGAATTCTTTTCATTTTTATTCAGTGATACGAGAAAACTATTGACGAAGTAGTTATTCCAATCTGTATAACTCGCAAGCTACTGCCTATTTCCGTTACAGTGGCTACACAAATATCAACGATGAACCAACATCTAATCACAAACCAAATCGAACGTGCACACCCCAGCCGAATCGAAAGATCAAAGGACAAACCGAATCAAATCAAACAAATCAAATTTGGCAACTGGACTATTCTCGCTGAAATATAGAAAAATAACATGCTACAGAATCATTAGTTGCAACATCCTAAGCGGTTCGGTTCACCCTAAAAGTCTGGTTCTGCACGAAAACTACGACAGAAATCCATTGCGTAACCGCCGAGCAGCCTCTCGTCAGTGAGATAAAATTAGAGAGAAACTTTTTCATATATTTTGCACACCGGGATGTACTTCTAGGTGAGCTGACCATAATTCCATTACTAGAATGTTCACCAGTAATTAACTCTCTAAACTAGATAGCTTTGCAAGCATTCGATATTGATTGTTACCTCATTAGTTTAAACAGGCTTTTCGGAGTGAGAGACTACTGTTGAGATTCTTCATCTGATTGCAGCGGATCTAATGCGAGATGTCTTTCGATTGTTCTCCATACAGCACAGATGTTTCATAGTCCTTTGCCTCTAATTAAAAGGAAATATACGTTTTCCTTTGACTAACATAACCTCCTTTGTTAGGCTTTTGGTGAACATTTTCAGTTTCCCCTATATCTAATTTCAGCTCTTCAGCCGATGTGGTATCTGGTCATGCTTCTTTGTGATTCTTGATTTGCAAGATGGCCTTACGGATTTAGATTATTAGTGACGTATCATCCATAGGGTGGTCCGTGTGTGCTTCTTCGAGTTCCGCTACGTTCACTGGCGCCGGTTTATTCCAAAGTTCTTTCGAGTGTCCTACCCACCTTTCACGCTGCTCTCGAACTTCGTCGATTGACCTACGTTCTCTTCCCTTGCAGGGTAGCTCGGATTTACCATATTTCTGTGCTAGCTTCATAACTGCATCATATAGCTCCCATATATTTTCCGGCTTTTCCGCTATCGTTGCTAAGTTTTCCACATATTTCCACTCAAAACTTTGATGCTCTTCTCCTCATAGTTGCCTGCTTCTGCAAACTCGGCCTGTCTTAGCCCTCTTTGCTCTATTTGAATGCTGTCGACATATGCTTTCTTAGACCCCCTTTCTTGAATCCTAACCATACTGTCTACGAAGATCTATTTTTTGTATTATTGCCTCTTGCACTCCATCACTTTCTGTTATGTTGAATTTATTGCTTCTTTAATTCTTCAACCGTTCTCCATAGTAGTTTCTCTCTCTAGCAGATCTTTTAAGACTTGGAACTTGTTGCGGAGAGCTATCTTGAGTCCAGTGAGTCTGTCTACGTCTTAAAGGAAAACAACATCAAACTTTTATAATGGGGCCTACCCGGTTGTTCAATGCCTCTTTAGCTTTAGTTCCGGCTTAACCGTCACCAGGTGGTGATCTAATGTCAGATCAGCTTCTCTTTTTATGCTTAGGTCTTCCATAGACCTTCTGAATCTTTTATTGATTCACACGTGATATATTTGGTTTTCCTTAGTGTGTTTTCCGAGACACATGAAGTTTTATGTATGCATTTGTGAGGGAAAACGATCCCGTGTTGTTGAGAACATTCATATGTACCACTCTCTCAACATTCTGGTTTCTTTCTCCCAGCCCATGCTGCTCCATGATATTTTACTAGCTGGTGTTTACAACACCAACCTTGTTATTTAAGTCCTGAATCAGGATGGATAGATTTTTTGAAGTTCTCTGCGATGAACCGCAGTCTTACAAAGCTGGAAATCATTGATGACTGAGCAACACCGCATGTCATTTACTGCAACCCTTTCTTTGCTTTGAAGGATGGTTTAATGATCACGGCGCAACAAGATTCTCATTATATAAACGCTACCCGTGTTTTTTGTAGAGCATCAGCGAGCCATTTTCTCCTTCAAGACCAGAATACTATAACACCATTCCCGAAGCTGGTCTTTTCTGTTCAACTTTTCCAATGAGTTTCACTTATTCCAAGCGGACCAAGGTCCTGTCTTCTCATCCTCACCACTATAAGAATGATCCTCACGGTCTCTCACATTTTTCAAACATTTCATGTGCTTATTTTAGTTGTTGCGCTGATTATCAGAAGGGGCTGTTTGTGAGAAAGGTTATCTTTACGGGCTGAGATTGCAAATGAATGACTGAAATAAGTGAAAACCTGTTTGTTTTTTTCAACAATTTACGAAGAAACTAGGTATTAGAAGATTTTCTTATTTGGGATATTGAATATTTGTTTGTCAACACCACTACTTAGAGTTTTGACCTTTGGCCACGTTTAACTTTAGTTCTGAGATCATCGTGGTCAATGTCGTTCCATAATAAGCATTTAGTGGAATATGACCATCCTATCAGAAGGCAAGGTGACAATGGACTTTGAAGTTAGTTTTGACAGCAGTGGGAGTGACTCTTCGTCTCTGTATAATTCCGACTCCGGAGTCAGTGTTGAGACTCCGGCCTCATGTAACACATCGGCGGCCTTCAATTTCGAACGTCCAGATGATGCTGAATATCTGTACTGTGATCTACTTTCTTTCTATGAAACACATTCCGTGACAGTAATACAGGCAGTACAGTGTCTTTCTAACGTGGATATTGACATCAGTCTTAACGCATGCACTTATTTATTCAATTTATGCAGGTGTGGATACGCGTCATTTATCGCACGTATATGTCCAGATGTTTTCTACAATGTAAAGATACCTGTATTTTGCCCTTCTTCTAGTAAGTACGTAGATGTAGTTCATTGCATGAGTGGCATTATAAACTATTTTTCACAGTGCCCAGATGGACTGGTCATGATAGTGCACAATGGAGGGCTTGATGTCATTAACGGGCTTCTACTTTTCCCTTTTGAATCTGTTTTATACTTCTGTGTGACTGCCCTTCATAACATATTATTAAGCCACAAAACAGCTAAAGGTCTCATTAATCGAACATGCATTTCTAATCGTTAATAAATCTTCTAAATTATTCTGTTGAGCACGTAAAATCAGACACACCGTATTCATTAACACCATCAAACTTTCAGAAAAGTATCAATCCAAAGTTCTTGGCAGTTCTCTGTGATTGTTTGTATATATTAGCATACAGGTCTGAAAGTACGAAAAAAACGTTTAAGGAACAAGGTGGACTATCTTCTCTTCTCAAAGTTATCATGATTTCGACTTACGAAAAAGTTTTATGGACGGCCACCAGACTTCTTCGAGTTTTGTCTGCATGGATTCCCGTCAAATATGAAATAATTGCTCAAGATCCACATTTGGATTTCTTTACTCATTGTTTAGAATGTCACTCATCGCGAGTAATAACAAACGCCCTATGGACTATGAGAAATCTTTCAGATATTGCCGTAAATAATATAACATCGGATGTCTCCGTCAATATAGTAAGACAGCTTCTTCATCAACTGAGGCTCAACATATGTAGTGATAGCTATGGAGCTTACTATTCAACCAATACTGGAGGTGATACTCCTATGTCCCGGTGTGTTCTAGGAGCACTAGCAAATTTAACATGTAGGAATAATGCTGCGAAATCCTACGTTGTTCGGGTAAGTCTTCGAAAAAAATTCCTTGAATCTTGTTCTAATTCACACTTCTAAATCTTTGGTGGTCTTTTACTTCCTCTAATTAATCAAGAATGGAGCGGTGGCCTAGTGATAAGACGTTCTATTTTCAAGTCCTAGGTCGAACGCCGCTTCACTTACCTCTATTTTGGTAACCTGGTAACATCAGTGGCCTTGACTGTTAGTGTGGTTCATAACCAAGTGCTTGGGGGAATGAGTTAATTGAATTCGATCTTAGAGATTTTTTTCCGAAACTATAGCTTAAAATCACTTGACTATATAAGTTGGTTTAGTGGCATGATTTCACATGTATAGTATCATTATTCTAGAGTACAAATGTGTAACTACTGATAGTCCAAATAATACTAGCCTCCATTTGTTCGCGAGCAGGAATTCTTGAAGTTTTTGAATGTATCCAAAATCAATATGGTGGTTACATTATCTCATCCGATCTAGAACCAATAACTTGATATTAATCAGCTAAGATTCCCGTGTCCTTTAACGCTTAACAAAAGTTAAGTGTGTAACATTATCCACCAATGTTAGTGGTCAACACTTTAGTCACTTTAATAGTTCTGTAGTTCCTACATTACTTACACACCTATTTAGTCTTGTCGGCTAGTTGGAACCGACATCTTACCAGAGTTTTGTTTCCGCATATTTTCCGCTTCATTTCACCAACGCTTGTTAAAAAGTCGCCTTGCATGTACCTTCAGTATCCACCAACCCAGTTATCTCACCGGACGTCCGATTTCTGTCCTTCTCGCGAAGTGCACCTCTCCACCTAAAGGCAATGAGTAGGATTTCCCTTCCGAAGGTTGTATAAGTGTATCCCTGGTAGAGGGTAGATTCTCATCAAACTCAGAACAGTTGAAAGGCCCTATTTCTACCAACCTCGTCACGCGCCATGTCTGAGCATCCAGGAATAAAATCAGTTGACGTTACGTAAGCCTTTTCCAGACGGTCAGGCTGTTTGCAACACGGGTTTTGTTCAAGGAAAGGTTGTACGAAATGTCATAAATCTCCCAAAACATATTAGCTGTAAGCCCTATGTATTAATAGATGATTTTAAAACCCTCAACAATCACTGCATAACAGCGTGCTGTGGTTTTCAAATGTTGAATGATAATGACCTAAATCAGTTTCTGGACAATATAATTATATGTGCTGTGGTGGCCAGTATGCATAATAGTATACTTTGTCATTGCTAAATATTAGTCCATTCTGTTAATTTCCGTAGGTCTTTCTGAAGCTCTTCATTGTCCTCTTCGTTTTAACAAGACTGATACTGACAGAAAGCTGGTACTGTCAATAACATTCCAGAGTAGTAACACTAGTCCCAAGATTGTACTTTGGAGTGCTCCGCTAAGCACTTCCCGCCAGAGAACTTGAATTTAAACTTCTGTTTGCGTACTGATAAAAATTGGTTTTTTATGGAAATAAATTTATCTTGATTCTAATATTACCGAAATGGATTAAGTGTAGTGTGTTGGACTCTATTAAACGCCTTAGTGAAGTGGGCGAGAAATATTTCTATGGATAGCTTATGATCTTTCAGAACGTAACGGTTTTCCATTGCTACGAATAAGTTTGTGATAAATAAATAACCCTCCCTAAAGATAATTTACTTTGGGAAAAATATCATGTTTTCAGTAAGATGCTTAAATAATTCTTTGCGAATGATCTTTAAAATCTTGGTAAGCACACTATCTGGTAATTTTCAAGACTCCTAGCTATCTCTTGAGATAGGACTTATTTATTTTTTTATTCGAACACAAATATTGGTACAAAGGGGCTCAAATACATACACAAGTCACTTGATTTGTGTGTGTTCTTTGATACTGTCCGAGTGCCCAAACCAAAACAGGTGATTTTCTTAGGGGGCCATGTCCGGAGCATTCACCCTAAGGTTCGTTCCATAAGGCGGTGGAGCGATGTCAGGAGATGCAGTTCCATGGTATCCGGTGTCCAATAACTGGTTCGCACACCATTTGTTCTTTCAGGATCATGGAGCTCATGTGCACCATTGATTTGGAATGAGGGTTTTCCAACTCTCCTAGATGGATCTTCCATGTCCATTAACCCAGTTAAAGCGTTGGACATTCGCTTTTCATCCTCTCAATTTCATAAACAACGGTAGTTCCGTGATAAGGCAGTAAGTGAGTAGAAGTTCCGTAGCAGTAGTTGTATACACATGGCGATGTAAGAACATTTCAAGAGCGATAGTTCACTCTCGGTCGTGCCAGGGTATTTAGGGACTGGATTACAAATGTGTAGTTATATTTCTCACTTATGAACTATTTTTATTTTATATTTTCAGCATAATGGAATTGATTTAATCATGCAAATATTGTATAGTGAAATAAGTGGACAAAAAAATTATTATCATACATTTTGTGATAATCTTAGTCAATCTATGTTAAATATGTCTATTCAATGTAAAAATGATAATGATCATTCTAATATATTTAAAAAATGTTTAAACAAATTACATAACAGTGATGATAATAATAATAATAATAATCACTACCATGTAACAAAATCTCCAATCATAGCAACAACAACAGTATCTTCATCATTACCAATAATCAATAATCAATCAATAAAACAAAAAAATGAATTACATTTATTAAATCACTTTTCTTCTTATAATAATAATAATAAATTAAATAATTTATTAAATATATCAATATTTAATTCAACATTAGATTTAATTGAAGCAGGTTTACGTTGTTTATCACATCTAACAATTGGACATATGGAATTAATAAATGTTTATCATTATTTTATACATCAACGTATTGCATCCAAATTAATTATATCAATGGGTAATATATATTTACCACTATTATTATCATTTCCATTTGATCAATATATTAATTTATATAAAGATACTACTATTAATACTACTACTAATAATAATAATAATAATGATAATTGGGAATTGATTGTTTAACCCAAATACTTCAATTAACAAAGACTTGGACTATATTAGTACGAAATTTATGTATAAATTATTATTATAATGATGAATTCACATCTATAACAAAAGCAAATTCATACGATACATTATTAAATAATAATAATAATAGTAATAATAATAATACAAATCTATGGCCTAAGCATTTACGTTCACAATTTCGTCATGGTATTCATAAACTAGTACAAAATTTAAGGCATTTAATAAATACAGTAAGTTTTGACATTTTATTATGTATGTATGTGGTTATATTTAATTGTTATTGTTTTTTTGGTTTGTTTCCTTTAATACTATCCATTGTTTAATTGTTCACACTTGATGTATTGTTAACTCATACAATTACAGACTATTTGCTTAGAGTCCACATGACTATCGTAACTAATGATTGGAGACTGTAGGTGACATGGTTCAGTCAGTCAGTTGTTAGAGGTATGAGGGCGGTTATCACTTCCCAGTTGCCCACACCGTGGAAGGGTCCTTCTGGAGGTACCTGAAAAGGAAATTGGATTAGAGGTGGTCTTAGTGACCTGAGAGCGTGACCGCAGTGCCCAATGAACAACTGCTTGAGGTCGGTCACACACGACCTTTTTGCGGTACTTGTTGAGACTTTACCGCCGGAGGCGGATATCCGTGGGATAAGACGAGGTGTGCATTTTTAAGGTCGACCTTTTCTATCCCCACCCCTCCTTGTGGGAAGGCAGCATCGCTGTCATGCTGGTTGTTTGAAGGAAACACCATACTGCTGTCACACCTCTGTACAGTCAGCAGGACGACTTCGCTTTTGGACCTTAGGTTTGTTGTTTTTGGTCTTACCGCTCTTCAACCGACCTGTCTGACATGGTAGGACCTTGAGGAACAGTTGTTCCAGCCAGTATAGTTCGGTTGCTTCATCACGATAGGCAAGCTCAACCACCATGTCAAGGTAGCAACAACGTTCGGGTGACATGGTTCAGAATCGATCACAATGGTGTAGATGTATACACTTTTTGTCTTCCCTTAAACTATGAGATTGAAATTGATTTATGCCTTTCTTTCAGCGAACTAATTCTTTCATTCTGTACTATATCCTTAAATGCAATCTTTCTTTTATATATTACCACCATTGAATTAATTACTTCCACGAATCTGGTGTTCATCTTGTTGTGCTAATGAATGAGGTGTGGCAAGTTGGACCGATGCATATATGTGCCTGGTCCTACATTGTACCTGAATGAATGACAATTACATTGTAAATTATTAGTATGAAACTTCTTCTTTTGATATTCATGGTATAAAGAGGAACTGAATACATATGTGCCACACAAGTTACTTGGTTTATGTGTAAACTGTGATGCTCTACCGCGTGTCCAAACCGAAGCAGGTGGTATTTTTAGGGGTCACACCCCAAATCTTTGACTTAAAGGTCTAATCCACAAAGCAGTGGAGCAAGGTAAGAAGATGTAGTCCCATGGTAGCAGGTGACCAACGATTGGTTCACATACCATTTCCTTCAGGATCTTGGAGCCCATGTGCACGATTGGTTTGAAATCACAGTTTTCTAACTTCCACCAACCCGGTTAATGCTCTGGACATTCGCTTTTCGTTTTTTCCAATTACATAAACAGCATCCTCGCCACGAGAAGGTAGTGAGTATTACTTCCCTGTCACTGGTTGTATACGCATGGCCATGTGAGAGCTTTTCGAGATGTAGAGCTGACTCTCCCCACCCTCGGCCTTACCAGGACATTTAGGAGCCTTAAATTATCACGTTGATATATGTAAGTTTATTGAGTAATACAGTGTGTATTACAGATTAGGTGTTACATTTTAATAGTTAACTAACCCAAATATTTACAAAAACTATAAATCTCATCATTAGTTTCACTCATTTTTTAAATCTGAATAATTTTTTCTAGCATTTTACCATAATTCATTATCAACGTATTAGTTTACCTTAGAAATACAGAAGAAACAATGAATGATATTATAAACCTTTTAACATTAAAACTAAACTATTCTATTTATTAAGTTTTTGATTGAAATCATGAACCGATTGATGTTAGACCACCATTGAAAACCTGGATGCACTGGACGGCTGTTTCGTCCTATTATGGGACCCCTCAGCGGTGCGCATCCACGATCCTGCTCGCAAGATTCGAACCCAGGGCCTTCAGTCTCGTGCGCAAACGCTTAACCTACTGGATCATGTGCTCACTAGTGACTAGCTTCGTGAGGGAATTCTCGGAGTTCTAGTGAGAAGCCGTGACCAGTGGAATCAATCCGTGTCGGGCAGAGACAGGTATCTGCCTCAGTACAATGGAAGATATTAGCGCGATTTTGTGGATTGGTTGAGGTTAGACATTAACACCGTTGGATGTCGGCTCAGTGATCTATAGGTCAAGCGTTCACGCGCGAGACTGAAGGCCCTGGGTTATAATCTCGCGAGCGGGATCGTGGGTGCGCACTGCTGAGGAGTCCCACAATAGAATGAAGCAGCCATCCAGTTCTTCCAGGTTTTCAATGGTGGTCTAACATCAATCGGTTCATGATCTCAATCAAAAACTTAATAATCTCCACAACCCTTACACTGATATTCTATTTATGTTTCTGTTGTTTTTATATGGCATCGTTTTTATATCTGAAATAATTGAAATGAATACCCTTGTATTGTATAATATGTATACTATTTAGATATCAATAGATGAAACAAGGTATCTTTTGTTGTTGTAATGAGTTAATTTAAATTCAGAAATGAAATAAATCAAGTATGTCTGTTTATTTAGCCTATTATACGAGGTATAAAAAGACACTTTCTTAAAGCCAGAAATTTAGTAAGATATTATGGAAACCTATTACTGAGATGTTGACCCTTAATTAAATATGAATTAAAAAGTGGTATCCATTTGTCGGCAGAGTAAAATTACATAGTGGGTAACTATAAAATCGTGTTTATCATCAGAAGATATATTAACTTCTAAGAAATAGAAAAAAAAGCATCTCATTAAGCAAAGATGGATAATGGTTAGCACCTCTCGTCCTATTTGGGACGCGTCAGCTAAATGTACCTGAATCTCAGAGTTGATGTTTACTCCGGAACTCGAACTCAGTATCGTTCGCTTCAAACACCACCGTGTTCTTCACTTAGCTACTGAGTCCTAATAGCCACTTCCTTGTGCAATTGGATGACGTTTTAAATTCACTTGATGTTGTTTTACTTGTATCTTCCCATTGTTATTTAGAACTGCAATCGATCAGTCACCTTTCGGCATATGTGCATCCTGTTCGGATTGTCTCGATATAGCCTTAAGTCACAAGCTTTTTAAACAAAGATAGATGGTGGCGAGCAGTGGAATCCAGGACGCGCGTTTCGTCCTATAACAATGGGAAGATGCAAGTAAACAATACTAAGTGAATTTAAATTTCACCTCATTGCACAAGCATGCGACTATTAGGACTCAGTAGCTAAGTGGATAAAGCGATGGCGTTTGATGCGAACGGTGCTGAGTTCGAGTCCCAAATAGGACGAAACGCGCATCAAAATGGATTCCACTGCTAACCACTATCCATTTTTGCTAATAGTAGCATTACTTATTACCCACTACTGATCAGCTACTTTATGAATCGGTTTATGACTATATATTTCATTAGTTTATATCTTGAAGCATAACAATATCCTGAATTATGTGAGACCAAATATGATCATCATGCTTGTGGGAAATAATTAAAATACGAACGACTACCAAGAAATGAATCTTCATACATTAAAGTAGTTATAAAACTGAATGAAAATTATTTCTTTCATTCATTTACATAACCTTATGAATGAACGAACCACTTTGATCTCTCTGAGTTAAATATTCAATGTCAGTGTATTTACAAAATGTACAGACATATAAATGTACAGACTAAAACAGTTATCGTTCTTTCTAATTTGTCTAGTCACTCACATTATTGAAGAAAATTATAAGACACATTTGTTGTCGGCAACTTGACACGTTAGTGTTTCCTCTCTCTCTCTCTCTCTCTCCTCTTCTTCGTATCTATGTATATGGAGAGAGAGAGAGAAATCCGAAACCACATTGTTTACTTGAAATCCAAATAAGATTTAGATCAGGCAGGGCTGACGAATATTGAATATTCGTTTAATGATTTAAATCTTGTAGACTAAATGGATAATGAGGTCATAAAATGGAGAAAAAAATCTATATTATACAATGCAACTGCTATAGGATACATCTTAAAGTGATTATATACTGACTGAATGTGTAATATCATGATATTTCATTCAAATCTATTACACTTTAGTCTAAGTGACTGGATAGATTTAACTGACTTTCATAGGATACCTGTAACTTAGAATTTTTTTAGTAAATGTTGAGTAAATAATAATTTTCCTAAACAATTCAACAACTTATAAGCATATTGGTCGTTATGGAAGTCTGATCAGCCCTAATGGGTTGGTGTCTGACGAAATCTCAGCACGGATTCGAAAAGCTCGTTTGGCTTTTGCCAACTTACGTCACCTATGGCGAAGGCGAGATATCCGTCTATCAATAAAAGGACGAGTATACTGTACGGCAGTCCGTTCTGTTCTACTTTACGGCTGTGAAACATGGTCATTAAGAGTAGAAGACACTCGTAAGCTACTAGTATTTGACCACAGATGCCTTAGAAATATTGCTGGCGTCTGCTGGGATCACCGGGTAAGTAATAGTGAGGTTAGACGCAGGGTATTAGGGAATGATGGTAAATCAGTTGATGAGGTTTTGAATCTTCATCGACTGAGATTGTTGGGCTACGTGTTGCGTATGCCTGAACATCGATTACCACGACGTGCAATGCTAACCGGTATTGGAGATGGTTGGAAGAGGGTTAGGGGCGGTCAAACCAAAACGTGGCATTAGTGTTTGAAGTCACTAACTTCCACTCTGAGCCATGTTGGTAAATGCAGACTACTTGGTTGGGATCCGCGTGACTATCGTAACCAATGGTTGGAGACTATGTGTGACATGGTTCAGAATCGATCAGAATGGCGTCGGTGTATACACTCTCTGTCTTCCCTTAAACTAAGAGATTAAAATCGCTTCACATCTTTCATTCTACGAACTTTTTTTTCTTCCTGTACTATATCCTTATTGCAATCTTTCGTGTAAATATTACCACCTCTGAATTAACTACTTTTATGAACCCGGTGTCCATCTTGTTGTGTTAATGAGGTATGGCAACTTGGACC